ATTAAAAAAAAATCATCGTTGAATAATCATGTTTTTCCATTATGAAAATTGTATGATTCACATTTTTGGTCAAACTAGGAACTTCGTCTGAAATGCTGAGATCATCATTCATGTAGTCAATTAAGGAATGCTTTGAAAGCATTTTGTTGCCTTCTTTTCAAATTGTAATAAAATACTGGTACAAGAAGCTGCTAACTTAACTGAACTTGCTTCAAAAGAATTATTTCTTCTTTTGCCGCTATATATAAAAGTAAACCCTCCCCCCATTGAACATGAACAATCAGTTTTCAACAATTCAGACAGCAAAAAAACTTCCGATTTTCTAAACGTTCTAGAATCAATCACCAAGAATGTATATATGATGCCAAACTGTGTATTTTTGAATTTCAAGGGTATTCCGCAACAACGGACGCTCTCTTTGTTCTTCTTTTTTTTCATTAATCGTTTGGACAAACTTTTACGTGTTTAAAAACTTGTCTTTCGATTCCAGAGGCCTACAAATACCAAACTGAGCGAGTGCTATCGAGTGCTATCGAGGCCCATCGAGCCCTCAGTTTATCCGCGTAATACCTCGCTTTGGCAAAACTACGATTGCATTCAAATATAATTGATTTTTATACAAAACTTTTTTTAGTAAAAAATTGATTGCATGTTACCCAATTGAACACTAAAAAAAGTAATATAGGGATTTTATACCGTTCAGAAAAATAGATTATTAAGTGAAGAAAATGGATTTTTGCGGTATAAAATCTGCATAGAATCTGTATATCGATTGCAATGCATTTTCTAAGGCCCAAAATTTAACTATTTAGACTAAAAAATGGATTATAATGTCTACAAAATTGACTTTTTTTACTCTTAGAAGCATGCTGTTTGCAAACTCAAACAAAAAAAAAACAATTCACAAATCATAAAAATTATCAAAAAAACAAGATTACGTCTCAGAATATGCAATAAAATCATGAAAATCATCAATATAAACAAGTCTTTGAGCACAAAAAAATGCAATAAATATGATAAAATTGGTGAGTTTTTCTTTAGTGTCTTGAAATTTTTTTTTTATAAATTTAAATCATCAATTGATCGGGGCAAAAACTTGAAAGAAAATTTTCTTTATTTTCCGATTATTTTTCTAAATCAGACTTGACGGACAGCTACCGCACAATAAGGCCTATTGAAGCTGTCAAAAACTAAAAAAGTCAAAAAGCATTTGTTTATAGAGTTTAGAGTGTCAAAACTTTATTAATAAGAGTAGACATCCCTCTACTTTTTTACTATGTAAATTTAGATCAGAGGCTTAAGCTTCGTAGCAAGCTTATAATAGTTTAATTTAGAAGCGAAGCAAGGTGCTCTGTTTTAAGTCAAAATACTTAAATATTTGGGAGAAGATCGCTTGAAGACTTTTAATTGCCAGGGGCAGATCAAAATGACCTTTTTTTGCGCACGCAATGAGCCAGACAAAAAGTTACCATTTGATATTTGCAGTGGGTTAGGTTTTGCAGAAATTGAAGTCATTTATTATGTTGAAAGGGCGGCAAATAAGATTTTGTGCCGCTTAGATGCTTTTGTTGCAAATTGGGTAGAAAGTGAAGAATATATAGGCTCAGGATTTTTTTTTCATTTAGATCAAAACTTCTGATGAATTTTTTGCTCTCGGGGATCGATTACTGGATATATTCGCGGGCTTCCCAGGTAATGCAACACTATAGTTACATGACACGAGGCTCAAAAAATTGATCGTTTTATGCAATGATGAAGGCAGCTATGGGAAGATTATACGCATGGCGAACTAATGAAAATAGGTAAGTTATTAAATCTCATGTTTTCCTGTTTTCATACCCGGCTTAAAAATTAACTCATAATTTCTATAACTAGAGACCAGTGAAGGAGCTGTCAGAATATTCAAACTTGAAATCTTTCCAATTATTTTCGTTCTAAAGCTTACGCACACTTTTCTTTCAGTCAACTTACTTGACAAAACCATAGGTTTGATTTGAGGGTTCTTAAAATATGTCAAAAATTTCCAGATTTATTTCGTTCACCTTCTAAGTCACCATGTTGGTCCTGCAAAATTCCCCTGGAACTAGTTTACAGAGCATCTTCAAAGTAGCCTTTTCTCTAGTTGGGTCAGCAAGACACACTGAAAAAAAAACGCCATGACAGTTTGAATGATAGCTTGGTAAAAAAATATACGTTGAAAATCTGATTTGTTTCAAATCGATCTTTTTATACAAATTTTTTGTAACATGTTAAAATCAGCTTAATTACTCGCAATTTTTTGTTAATGAGTTTAACCTAATTAATATCCTATTTTAATCCTAGTTTTCCAAAATGTTATTTTTTTCCAATTGTTGGATCTGTTTGAGTTTTGGAATCATGTTCATTTCATTATTTTATGAGGCACGCCCTAAAAATTAGCTCACCGTTTCAGTGTTTGGAACAAACAAATACAATCATGGTTCAATGAATCAAATTTTCAAGTAAGGCGGTGATAGTAGAGAAACCCTGAAATGACTTTGAAAGCACTGAAAGATGGTTTGAAAAATATTCTGTAGCAAAAATTGTTTGCAATTGGCTTCTTGAGGCCCTCTTTTTTTTTACAATGAACATCAACTATTAAGTAATTACCTATAAAAACGCTAAATGATATGAAGTTTTACCTAGTAAAGTTTTTAAAGGAGGCAATTTCTGCATTATGCCTGGCTAACATCGGGCTGCTCGCACAGGAAGTAATAGAATTTATAGTTCAAAGCTTATGTCATTGTAAGAAAAGTAAGAAAAATAGATAAAGCAGTAACACCAAAAAACAATTTGGTCATGACCAAGTTTTTTCCGAGCAATTCAATTGCGAAAATCATCGACAACTTCATTTTTTAGCCAAAACTAGGCACCAGTGCACAATTTAATAAATTTTTTGTTTCCTTATGTAGCTTTAAGTAAATTTGTAGTTTAAGGAGGTTACGGACACTCGTTTATAGTATCATTAAAAATTTTTCTCCATACCAACTCATCAAGATTCAATCAGATATCAATACCTCTGATCACTTCAAAAAACAAAATTTAAACATTAAAATTGGAAATTGAAATAAAGTATACTTCTAAAAAATTCGAAAAAATAGTTGAAACCTTTTATTTTTTAATCCACTGTTTCACTAGACTAGATTAGCGTGCCATAAGTACTAACGCACTTAGTACTTAATTCCCGAGCCAAAAGAAAGTTTTTTTTATTTCCATGAGCAAATCAATGTTAATTTCCATCACGTTCTTTTTTTACTTTCTCTGTATCTTTTGAAAATTTAAGATTAAATTGGGATAAAAGCCTGATGAAATGTTTTGTAATGACTTTCAAACAAATTACTTTGAAATGACTTTCAAAGGACAAAAGCCGGTTAAAATTTTGAGAAATTTTATTCTGTGGGCGTAAAGTAACCAGTAGATCATAACTAGTTTCAGAGGTGTTCTTGCTATGGAAAAGTTTTTACAATTACAAAGCAAAACTGATTTTTTATTGCTCACTGTTGTTCTTTGGAAAGCGAATGAGCTTGAATTACACTTTATGGTGCGAAAAACAACAGACGGAAATTGATAAGGTAAATTTGCGCGGTGTCAAAAATCGGCTAAAAACTAATGATTAATTTTGCGCTGGCAATCCAGCTCAGGCAATCAATGAAATGTTCCGGCGAACGTTTCGGAGCTATGACTGCTCTAATACTATCACAGAATTCTGGTAGTTATACTATATTTAGGTTTTGTCCACTTTTCTGGTAAAAGCACTCGATTTTAAAGTCTGCATCGCCAACACAGAAACATTTTCTAGAGACAACGGATCAAGAGACTTTTCCTTATTTTGGCTGTAGTTTTTCTCAAAAAATAAAGAATAAGTCCAGCTCTTCAGATTCCACAAAAGCCAATTTGAGCCAGTAAACATGCTTTGTTGCTTGCAGCAATTTTTTTCTACTGCAAGAACACCTACAAAGAGAATTTTGACAAAATGGCTATTTTACGCCTTAAAAATTTTTTCGTATATTTAAACCGCGCTATGTTCTTCCCAAAGGTTTTATCAAAGTTTCAAACCTCTATTTTTAGTGAATCCAGAGCAAACAATAAAAAGATGAAAAAAGAAATTGTTAATTTGCCTGTTGAAGTCAAAAGTTTGCAACTGCTGACGCGTGACTGTGTAGGCACCTGCGCTTTGGCTCACTTTTTTTGGATACCCCCCTAGGGTATCTAGTAACGAGTTCCCGGATTGACCAAAAATGCTTATCATGCAATTCTTATAACTGGGAAATTTCTTTTCATACAATTCCATACGTACAGAAAATTGTATGAAATCTCGATAATAAACTTTTTCCCAAATATGGAAATTGTATGATAGGTGTTTTTTTCATAAACCAAAAAGATGTTTTTTTGTTTTTAATTTTGGTTTCTTAAAATTTTTGGATTGTTGTTTGCACCCGAGCACACGTGACAATGACCTTGGTTACTCAGAGCACCAAAGGTTGGACGGTCTTGCATTTACAATGCATAGAAAACGACCTGAATTGTCTTCGAGCTGTTGTTCGCAAATTATATAACAAAAGTAACAAACTGGAAATTGTATGACAAGCATTTTTTTTTCTTAAGAAAATTTTAAATCCGTTTTTTTTTTGTCACCAGTCTGTTTAACTGTTCTCAAAAAGCTGCAATGGTTTAATTTTTTTTCTATTGTTTTTCGAAATGTATGAAAATTGTATGACAAGCATTTTCTCCATACACTTGGTGTATGGAATTGTATGATAATGATTTTTGCTGTATGGAATTGTGTGATAAGCACTTTAGGCGTATGGAGGTCAACCCGGGTTGTCACTCATATAAAAAATTATTCAATGGTTAGGCATATGTAAATTTTGTACATCGTAACAAATCCCCCTAAGCAAAAGGTGGCAAAAAGTTAAAGAGATCCCTTTTTTCATTTGTTATTTGACCTTTTATCCAGCTGAAACTTGATATCGAGAAAACGATTTATAATCTGCTATTTTATTTATTTCTAAGGTTACTAATTATAATCTACAACCTCAATAAATTGATCAGACTAAATACATTTTGAATACAGTTTCTGACTACCATTTACATCTCAAATATACTCATTTTAACTACTTCGTATATAGATTTCGACTTTATGGCTAAACGCTAGTAATTAACAAATATTTAAATATAAATTAATGTTTTTAGTTATCTTCTGTGTTCAAATTACGTTCAATAATGCGAGTGATCATTCAAACTACAGTTATATTAGACGACAAGTCGATTAGACGACAAGTCAGTTAGACGACAAGTCAGTAAGACGACAGGCGGATTAGACGACGGGGTAGCTAGCCGATGTAGCAACACCACACTGGTTGTTTCTATTTCTGGACATTTTGATGTACCCATTTTCACCCCAAGATTCACCCCACGAGTTTTTGACGATCCAGTAATCCTGGCCGTCTTCGGTCCCGTAGCCGACGACTAGCACTCCGTGGTCCAGTTGTTCCGGGGAGCAGTTGGGTTCGTTGTAGACCCCGCCGCTGTACATTTGGAAGCTAAAGCAAAAAAAAAAACTGATAGCTATCGATTCAACCTAATCATTCGTGAGTTGAAACCATAATCAAGTTTAAAAATTCAAGTTATGATTGTTATCTAGAATGATTGAAGTTGATACAACAAATTGCTGAAGTTTCTGAGCATGTCTCTGTAAAAAAAATGGAGCCCAGTTATTATGATGGGTATTTGATATCAATTTTGATACTACTTTGTTATTGGAACCAAATAACTCAACGAAATTAGCAAAAACGACTTTTGAACTTAGCAAAAATTATTCGCTAAATTTGTGGCCCGCAAATTTATTTATTCGCAAAATTTGGGGTCCCGTGACTGTAAATGAAGAGGTCCGGATTCGAACCTGCGACCTCAAGTGCTAGACAGTTCACTGCCTTCTTACCTCATATGTGATGCGTCGATGGCGATGCTGATTGGCCCGATTGTTCCGACTGCTTCTTTGAGTGCATCTTCATCGCCTGCGGGGATGTCCCGGTAGCCGGCATCGGTAGCTCCGACATCGCTTTTCTGGAATCTGAAATTAAACACATTGCGAGGCCGAATTGGGTGATTTTTTTCTGCATTGTAAGCGGATTCTGCAACAAAAGGACGCTATCTCTGATCTTCTGTAGTTCATTCGTTTTCTTTGATTGTTCCGACAAAATTTTAGCATGCTTAAAGACATGTCTGCGGATTCCAGAAAGCTACACACACCAAATTGAGCGCCTTAGAGAAAGAGTAAAATGGTCTGCGAATACTTTTAGGATATCGCTCGATAGGCAGCTCACTGGCTTTTCTATTACCAGGATTGACCATATATACTAATCAAAAAGTTTTCATGTATGGACAAAAAGCTAAAAGCTACTCACACACTTTTTAAGAAATTCTATAAGTACACAAAATTGCAAAAACAGTCCATGATTTGTGGTTTTTCATAAATAGAAATTGTATGACTAGCATTTTTCCATAAGCCAAAAAAACCTGGCTTAAATAGAAATTGTATGACTAGCATTATTCCATCAGCCAAAAAAAACCTGGCTGATTTTTTTCTGGCTTAATTCCTTTTCAAATATTTGGGACTGTGTTCGTAACCAAACATAAGTGTCAAATACTTTTTTTTCTCAAAAGTAGAGTCACCAAAATGTGACCGTCTTGCTTTTAAAATGCATTGGAAACGACCTGAATTGTTTTATAATGTTTTTATTCACAATATTAACAAAACAAACGAACTTTTAAATTCAGGCAAAAATTTCCAAAGATGAGTTTAGCAAATTAGAAATACAAATTAAGGGTTCTTTTTTTAATTAAGGCATACATAAAAAAGCCATGCAAAATAGATAGACGTTTCCGAGCGTGTTTGAAAACATTTATCCAGAGAAACGGAAAAAAGTCCAAGTTTTGTGTATCAAGGACTACGTTATATACATAGAAAGTAACTTTTGCACTTAGAGCAAAAAGTAATTTTTAAAAATATTCCTTTCCATAAAACATTCGTTTTGTGTATAAAAAAAATTGTCGGCAAATTTGAAATGCCATCCAAAAAGTGCTTGTCATACAATTTTTGTATTTGGAAATTGTATGATTAGCCATTTTTCTGACAAAATTATTTATTTTTTCTGACAATACACCAACATCTATGCCGAAACAAAGAAATTTCCTTGAAAATTCGATTAATCAATTTAAGCAAAATGTATGAAATTTGTATGACCAATATTTTTTCTCAGACTTAGTTCATGGAAATGTATGATTAGCATTCACAGTCTATGGAGGTCAACCTGGAGTTCTTTCATGATGGCATCTTTAGTTGGCATAGCTTAAGTAATAAAAAAAACAATTTTCCCCTGCTTTAACCCAAATAAATTAATTGTCCATCTTTCGAATAACCTAGTTAGTTTGAACAAGACTGCACGTATCAGGACAAAACCCTGATTGTTTCTACTGACCTTCAACTGCTTTTGCTGATGATTTCAAATTATATCGGTGAAATTTTGAGTCGCATTTGAAATCAACAAGACCAAATAGGTTGCTTTACTTCAATTAGGATCAGTTTTGCAGAGCGGAATAACTTGGCGCATGTAAATAATTCTCGTTGTTCCGAATTTCGATACGAAAGTAACGGAATATTTGTGCTCGGGGTGATTTTTTAAACAATTTTTGACGGAATTTTTTTTATCATTCGAAAGCTATTGTTATCTTGAGCTTAAATTTGAAAAGATATTTCACCTGTGATCATTTTTCGTAAAGTTATGGGGGTTTAAAGATTGCCATTTGGGCCAATTTGGGACAATTAACGCGCGATATATTTCGCGCTATTAACGCGGAAGCGGAGATTTAATCGGTCTTGGAAATCGTTCCAAATTGGTTGAAAGAAGCTTCTTTGCCATAATTGATTTGTTACAAGAAGCGAAATCTATCCTTTTGTACTTTATATGGCGTGTGGGGGGATGATTTTCGTTAAAAAATTCAAATTTTAGAAAAAAAAATTTCATTTAATTTTATTACATTTAATTTTTTTTTATAGGTTATTACTGCTCCATAAACCTTAAAAGGCAGTCAGAACATTCAGAGCTTCGTCCTGATACGAGCAGTCTTGTTAAGTTTTTTGGATCAAAGTATAAAATGAGCAGTTTTAGACAGACACGTTTCACTTTGTACAGACAAACAAAGTGATGTGTGCGTATATCAGCGCGCACGTGAGGCTGTGAATTGATACGCCAAGTGAGCTGAAGATGTTCTGGATAAAAAAACACCACAAGCATCTATAATTTTCACTTTCTTTGAAAATGTGACCAAAAGTTGCTCTTACAAAAGTTTCCACAAAAATTTGTTCAAATTTTCACGCTATTAAGTTTTATTGCAGCTCAGATGACAAAAATCATTCTGGACAGATTTTTGTAAAATTGAACTACAGAAAAAATGAACGAAGAAAATATAAAAAAGAGCCAAAAATAAACGAAATCTGACCTGCATTTGTCGTTTTCTGCCTCGTAGGGGTAACTCTTCTCAGTGTCCAGCCCCCCGTTGTCCTTCACATACTGGAAGGCGTAGTCCATCAGTCCCCCGTTACAGCCCATGTTCCCATAGCTACGCGTGCAGTCCACCAAATTCTGCTCGCTCAGAGACACTGAAATGAGAAAATGATATTTTTGTAAATCGAGAGTTGAAGAAGACGAAGAAAAAATGAGCTAAGAAAATAAACCCAAGCAAAGTCAAGAAAAAAATCATTAAAATTTCGGGAAATTAAAAATAATCGAATTGTTTTTGGCAATCGAAAATTGAAGAAGAAAAAAAAATTGAAAAAATAAACCCAAACAAAGTCAATAAAAACAATCAATAAAAATGCGAATAATCAAATTGCTTTTGACAATCGTAAGTTGACGAAGAAGAAAAAATGAATTGAAAAAAAAACCCAAGCAAAGTCAATAAAAACAATCAAAAAAAGTGGGAAATAAAAATAATCGAATTGTTTTTGGCGATGGAAAATTGAAGAAGAAAAAATGAATTGAAAAAAACCCAAGCAAAGTAAAAAAAAACAATCAATAAAAATGCAAATAATCAAATTGTTTTTGACAATCGAAACTTGAAGAAGAAGAAAAAATGAATTGAAAAAAAAATAAACCCAAGCAAAGTCAATAAAAACAATCAACAAAAAAGTGGGAAATTAAAAATAATCGAATTGTTTTTGGCAATGAAAAATTGAAGAAGAAAAAATGAATTAAAAAAAGAAAAAAAATGAACTAAAGCAAAGTCAAGAAAAACAATCAATAAAAAAGTGGGAAAATAAAAATAATCGAATTTGTTTTTGGCAATGATTGAAATGATGATTTAAATTTTTCCTGTCGTCATTTTGACTTTTTTTGAAATTCAAAAAAAAACTTAGTTTCAGTTTATTCGTTTTGTGCTCAGAGACACTGAAAAAGAATATCGCAAAAAACTAATAAGTTCTTGGAGCTAGTAGATTATAGGCAATTAACTTAAGGCACAACAAAAATCCTTTAAAATAAACTTAAGCGCAGTCACAAAAAAAAACAATCAACAAAAATTGTGAGAATTTACAAGTCTTGAAAACACATTATGTGATAATTTTTGAAAACCGAAAGTTGAAAAATGAATAGAAAAAAACTCAAAAAGCCAAACAGGAATTAAATGCGTAGGAAAAATATATGCTAAGTATAAAATTCGAATTTCAAAAACGTATGACTTTAAATTCGAAATGACACTCAGTTGATTAGGACGAAAGCTAGAAAAAATTGCCCGAGCCTCGTTTTTAGTTTCCCGCAAAAATATTTTGCCTTAAGTTTTCTGGAAAAGGGCGAAGATTTCTCCAACGGAAAAGTTTTAATCTGTGAACTTTGTTGAGCCCTTTAGGAGCTCTATACACATTTTTTCTTTCGAATTCATCTCCACCGATTTGGGAGGGTTGTATTCTAAATGTTTACTTTCTGGTGACAGAAAGTAAACATTTCTTATTAAGATTATCAGGGACTACTGAGTTTATCAATTTTTAGGCTGAAGCTCAAAAGTGATGTTAATTTTAGATTTTTGAATCAAAGACTTCCTGTGGAAACAAAAAATTTTGTCGTGAAATAAACGTAGAGCTCGTTTTCGCAATAAAATGGCTGGTTTCGGCACTTTTTTAGAAATACAATCATTAACAAATATTCCATAATCTAAGGTAAATTTAAAGAGTGAGGTATAGAAAAACAGAATCTGAATGAGGCCTTTATAACTTTCTGAAACTCGTAAAAATTCGATTTAAAATTCACCTTAATAGTTAGGTATCTGCAACTAACAGAAAATCTTTGAAAGATTATCAAGCCTATTTAAGCATATAGCTTGTTAATTCATTGCCAGGCCAATCTCTGCTCTAGATAGGCACACAAGTCGCTGTCTGCTTGTTCCTGGATTCCACAGACAAGTCTTTAAACGTGTTAAAATTTTGTCGGAACAATCAAAGAGAATGAAAGGAAAAAAGGAGAACAAAAAGAGCTTCCTTCGTTGCGGAATTCGGTTACAATACACAAAAAAGTCCTCCTAATGATTTTTCCCCCAATTCAGACTGAGTTTGTGGTATTTTGCCCCCAATTCAGAGTTAGTTTTTGGTATTCCCACAAACCCCCCCCCCCCCCCCCCCCCAATTCAGACTTGGTTTGTGGTATTTTAACTGGACTGCATACCCAGTTTGTGAGTCTTGGCGAAGTGTTGTCCCTCCAGCGAGCCTGTGGAAGAGAATGACCAGCAGGATCCACACTGGCCTTGGTTCTTCACTGGCGTCACGTACCCTTTTTCTCGCCAGTCGATACTCTCCGGCGCTTTCTAGAACAACAAGAAGATCGTATGAAATCAATCGCGACTCTTTTACTACCCCCCCCCCCTAAGAAAAAGGGAGGAGATTCGTTACAAGGTGTGCTTAATTCAAATATGCTTAGCCAATATGCAATTTGGTCTTATAGTCTTATTATTTCGAAGTTCATTTAGCTCTTAATTCGTTTCTACATGTACCATAAGAGGATAGCATAAAGTATTCATGAAACTACGAAAAAATGCGAATACTAAAAAAACCTGCCTTGCCTTTAATTGTAATTTTTTAACATTCATTGTGCCAATCAGCAATTAATGTTGTACAAAATCACCATCAGCTCAAAGCTAAACCAATTTTTAAATGATGTCAAAAATTTGACCAAAGGTCAGACGGATATTTTGGCCCAGTCTCTCCCAAATAAGAGTCTGACCAGTTTTTCCCAGTTTTTTATAAGGCTTGATCCTCGCAAGAATCCGAGACCTGTCCTTGGGCTCAATTTTTTATTTGCAGTAACACATACCGATTCGGCTGGTTTCGTGAACATTTTCGCCCCGCTCGGCTTTTCTGTCATCTGCAGTTTCTTCTCGTATTTGTACCCATTCATAGTACTTCTGACGTCATAAATGGAGAGGTCAGAGTACTCGTTGAGGGCAGTTGTGAACGAGGATTTGTTCAGACTCGCTTCTAGATTGTGTTGATTCACATATCTGAAAAAAATTATGATTACGAAAAGTTTCAAATTTCGATTGCAAGTTTCGAGTTCTGACCAACCAAATTAGTTGTTGAAGGAAAAAGAGCCTTTTTTTTTGTTAGTCACTGAGATCAAATTTGAAAGGTTGCCGAAACTTTCAATCCTTGTTGAAAAAATTGTGAAAGCTCGTTGACAAATTGTAAAATTGTGGTGAAATCTTACACCCCCCCCCCCCCCCCCCCAATTTTCAATTTTTTTTTTCATTTTTGGCAAAATTTTTATTTTTGGCCGACCCCTTCATTAAAGTTTCAGGGCGCTTATGTTTTGAAATAGATTCATAAGCTCGTTTGCTTGATGAAAAACTTTCACCAAAACCTGCAGCGTTTCTCAAAATATTTTTAGCCGCTTTTTAAAATAAACTGCTTAAGTAAATTTGAGAAGCGATTCGACTACATCAGCCGAAATTCAACCAAACTTTTGAACATATACTTTTTGAATATTCGACTCACCTCCAACCCCCACGCTTCTGCTAATAACCTTTTTAAATTTTCTGGTGATTTTTCAAAACTGAAAAAAAAAACAAAAAAAAACTTCATACCTCAAGTTGCTGAGCCAAATGGAGAATCTTGTAATTTCTTCCTCGAAACTTTTGTACTCTTTTTTGAACAACTTTTTCCAATCTTCGAACTCGTCTTTGAACTCACTTTCAATTTCTTCCAAATACGATTTATTTTCATTCGAGTCAATTTTTTCCTCTTTTCCGGGAAAGGCGAATACAGCGACAAAAAGTAGCAAAACTGGGACAACTTTTATCAAATTCATATTTTTGGTAGATTTTCAAACTTTTCTTCTGTCGACTTCAAATTTAGTTTAATTCTGTTCAAAATGCCTTTCAAAACTGATTAAAATTAGACCAGTATAAAGTGAACAGCTTATAACAAAGTAATGTTACATGAAATCAGTTAATGACCTTTCGAAATAACTTCAGCTAGAGATAACACGTTGACATATTTGAACTTAGAAAGATAAGAATTGTATGAAATTGTGGTTCATTTCACATAGAGTATTTGCATAATATATTTCTTGTCGTATTTCTGACATACGATTAACATAACTTAATAGCCGAAACTTCAGTGACTAATAAAGTTGAAAGTTCTTTAAATTTCAGTTTCAATTTTCCCAGAAATTAATAATATTTTGGATGAAAATTTTTTTTTTTTTGAAACTTCAAATTTTTGAAAATCTGTTTTTCAAACTTTCGATTTCAAAAAAGGGCGCTAACAATAAACTAGGTATCAGAAAACACGTGATCTAGGTTTGGTTATAATTCATAACTTTTTATGACGAGGCAAACCTTCAGTTGTCAATGGACCACACAAGCTTGCTGACATAAATAAAGTCCTTCAAATCCCCAGGCTTCAAAGAAACTATCAGCGTACTAATTTGAAGCGCAAGGTAAACAGAATTAAAATCCAGGAATGGGGTACTCTGGCTATTTCATCCACAACTGTGATCACGTGACATTCGTTTTTAGGGTATTTCGCCCAACTTCGCAAAAACTAAATAGGCAAACATCAGAAATGGTAATGCTTTAGTCTGATTGGTTGAAAATGAATGCGTCGCTGAAATTTAAATTGATTGAATTTTAAATGAAGCGCATTGAAGGTTGATTTGGGCGGAATGATTTAAAAGACGCAAATTTTAATTTCGAACAATGAAAGGAGCAAAAAAAAATTCTTAGTGTTCTTGTTAACTTTATTCTCTGTTTTTTTTCAACAACAGTTTAGATTATATATGGCTTAAGTTTTGAGACGGTTGATGGAATTAGTTAGGGAGATCTAAAAGATTATTCAAAATGTGCGATGGAAAAAAATAAAGGGGGGTTATCCAACTTTCTAAAATTTCAAAAAATTGTTACTGGTGAGTTAGGACCGATGTGGTTAACTCATAGAGTAATTTCGGATAGGGTACACCGTCTGCTCGTCACGCTATCTTATTTTCGGCCGGATAGATTCGTGCAACTTCTTAGTCTAATACCGATCCTAATCTTACTCTTATACTATCTAGTTTCAGGTTGTTTAACTAGTCTCTGCTAGGCTCAATAGATCTAGGGTATACTGGTTTATTGCGGCTGCTGAAGTTCTCTTGGAGAGGCAATTAATTTCTAAGTTAAATTCAAATCTCTCTGGTGCCGAAATTACAAGTAATTTCAGCATTTACAAATAAGTGGGTTGTTAGTTTGATGGATCATGATTGGTTAATATTAAATACTTTACAGTGGTAAAATATCTAATTTATCCAATCATAAAATATAGTTTAGATCAGGTTCCACCCATCCGGGTTTTACAGAGTTTTTTAGAATTATCTTTCTGCAATTCAAAGGATGGATGATGGACGTTGGTATTTGGCGAACATCATATTCTTATCCGGTTTCTCTTGTTAGAGAAGTTCCAGGACGCTGGAATGATGGATATCAATCGTTGTGTCTTCTTGTGACAACGACTGTGTTTCCCAACGGAATCAATCTGATTTCAGAATGGTTTGCTATGACGGGTTTTTCTGTTTTATGTAGAGAACTTCTTTTGTGCTCGACCTCGTCTGGGAATGGCGTGGAGATTGTGCGTGGAGGGGATGCCTTGTTACTCGGATCTGTACGTATACTTGAACATCGAGGTGGTCATTGGTCTAGTTCAATGAAGTCCTTTTCTGCGAAGTCAAGTCGTACTCTAAATCCTTTGAGTTGTGATTGTGGACGGCATATTGGTTGTGGTTGGCCATTCTTTTTCGAGTGTAGTGGGGTCATTTTGTCTTTGGATGTTCGTCTTTGTTGTTGTATGCTGATCTATATACTGCAATGTATAATTTACATTTTATAAAATTTTTAAAATTTCAGTGTTTTTATTATGATTTTGGTTAGTTGTTTTCACAAAAGCATTTTGTTTTAGTTCGGTTATTTTGAAGAGTTACTCACCCTTGAGTACCTCTTATTAAAAATAGAAGTGTGGTCACAAAGCGTGGATGTAGCGCGGTGGGCTAGGCCGGCTATAGAGCATGCTCAGGACGTCCTCTCTGGTGGGTTAGGCCAGGAGAGGGAGTATGATTTCGTGCGGTTTCTGTGAGAAGTCCTGTTATGTGATAACGTTTTATGTCGAGTTTGTGGTGGTTTTTCTTATGTTTCGTTGATTGTGTCCTTTTTTCAAAAATCAAATTGTTTTTGTTATGGGTTTGTCTTTCGATTTTTTTGTGTTTTATTATTTCTTTCTTAGACTTTATAATAGTCTTCAAAAGAATAAATTATCCAGTTTTAAACTGGGTTAATCCGCTTTGGGTACCGTTGGTTTTCTTTTCTTAGTCATGCTGTTATTCTATGATTTGTGGTGTTTAGTAAGCTGCGTTGGTTAGTTTTGTTTAGTATATAATTCCTTTCCAACCGGGTTAAAGGAAATTTTGGAACTATTGTGTGTTAGAGTTGTTGAGTGTGAAAACTTGAAACTGAAATTCATTATTTAAACAATTCTTCGTGGGCGAGCTGTGCGACTTTGGATAGAATTCTTGTGCGAATGAATGAAAATATCAAAAGGTTAGTACTGCATTTTTGTTTTATCAATTTACTACATAGAATTTTAACTTTACTGCTAGTTTTGGGGAAAAATTAAGTTACAAATTTTCATCATTATTTAAATTACTGCTTTTGGGGAAACAATTTATAAATTAATTTACTACATTGGTATGAATTTTATTATATTTATCTAGTGCAAAATATTTATAGAGTTTTAGAAAAATTTTAACAAGTTTTTATTTTTTATTTTTCTTTTCTGTTTGTTGCAGATGATCGTGGGATGAAGACTAAAAATCTAAATCAGACATGAATAAAGAATGGTTAGTTTTAATTTAAATTTATTAGTGAAGAATATGTATAAATTATACTTACCAGTTAGTCGTCGGGGAAAAAACCGTGGGGGAAGATGTCGTGTATTATGTCGGAGTTTGTTAGTAATTTTGCTAGTATGCGAATGATGTTTTTAGTTTGAAGCAGTGGCCAAAGCAATTGAAGTGCTTTAATAGTTTTTAGTTCTTCAGCGCCAACTGCAAACTCATAAGGTGTGTTTTGAATGAGATTATATAATTTGTGATTGTATTTAGTGTTGTGGATGAATTCTAAAATTGGGATTTCTATAGGTTGGATAAATTCATGTGGGATAAGGAAGGGTCTGGATTCTTCTGCGTTAAAGGTCTTCGTGATGGGACAAAATATATACATTTGGGTTATGGGATCATAATTGCGGAGGATACCGTGAAGGTTAGTATCTTTGATGCAATATGTGAAATTAAGAAAAAATGGTGAAGTGTATTTAGAGTTAATAAACTGAAAACGGTGGTGTGGTTGTCTTGATGGAGTGTGTAGATCAAAATGATTTTGTATGAAGCGATAATATGTATATGTGTGGGTTTGTTTAGTGCGTAACATAATGTCGTGTGAGCAGTGCAAATCGCGTTCATGTGGTGCAAGGAAGTGGAAGGTTAGTGAAAATAATTGAAATTTTTCTTTAAAACTTTCGTAAGCGTGCATGTCGGTTAGTGCTTCAGAAATGATGTGATCAAATTTTCGATCAAATATATTGAGTGTAAATACATATGATGTTTTGATGAAGAATTTTTCTGTTATTTGTGGGTTAGCGAAGCGATCATCATCTAAAAGTTGGTCTTGATTAGTTCGGATGATGTTATGATCGTAATATTCTAGCGTAAATTCGTTAGCTCGGGGTGCAGTGAAGGTTTTTAGTGACTTTTTATATCCTATATAAGTAAATTGTCTATGTGTTAGTGGCGTGGTGAGTCGATATAGCATATCTTGATTTCTTTCTATATCGTTGTGAGTATTAGATAATGGTAGGCAAAGGGGATTAGTAAAATGATAATATGATGTCCAATGAAGTGTAGGTATTAAAACATGTTCATCTACAAAAGTGTGTCGTTAGTGTCGTGAGGGGTGTTTAAAGTATATTGTGGAAATGAAGGTAAGGTGATTGCTAGAAAATCTTTTGTGTTAGTGTGATGTGGATGATTAATATATTCACGGGCTGTTCCTGGTTTGGTTGGGAATGGATGGTTTGGGAATTTTCTTTTAAAAGTGCGATAAGCTCTATTAGTGCTATTTGATGATTCGGTGGAAGTGGATGATTGTGCTAATGATGCAGAATAAGCTGAAGAGGGTGTAGGGGTAGGTGCGTTTGAGGATTCTATTGTGGAAGAAATCTGATTTATAGTGGAGGTGTTAAGGTGTAATGGTTGTTGTTGTAGGGTGATAAAATTATCTAGTTCTTGGGAGATTTGGCGAATATCTGGAGAATTGTATGATCGGTCTGAATGAAATGAAGAGTAGGTTGGGGTGACTTGTGAAGCATAAGAGGGTGTAGAAATGGATGGGAGTGGGTTATTTGGTGGGATTGGTTGAAAAGGAGGTTTTGAAAAAAGTGAGGGGTTGGTTGGAAAATTATTGGATGGAGATGGTTCAGAGTCTGCAAATTCATCAGGGGTTTCAATATTAGGGTTATTGAGTTATGAAATGGAGTATAAAACTGAAACATTTAAATTAGTGTCTGAATTCATGCCTGATGTTATATTACTAGTTGGGAAATCGGGTGGCGGGAAAGCAAAAAGTGGAATTATTGTAATTGGAGTGTTGAGGTTGGTGGGATGGGAATTTGAGCGGTGTAGGGATCCAAGTTGTCGGCTCATCGTGGGCTAAAAAAATTATTTTTTTGAGACTGAAAAGCGGTGGTATGGGGTTGTTCGATAATTTGTTCATATGTATTTTCATCTTGTGAATGATGTGTCATTATATGTTGTATGGGACTTTGCGATATGTTTTGTCTAAAATTTGGATTATGTGTTATTGCTAAATTTCGAAAATTTCGTGGGACTAGGGATAATGGATGGTTATGTGGTAGGGGTGGTAACTGTGGTGCTGTAGGCGTTATTTCTATA